ACGAGCCGGCACTGCTATGCACAATTAGGATTGACAATATAGACATGAGAATCGTAAAACCGAACAAGAACGAATCAAAATAATCAGATCGATCTGGGTATTAAAAAATATTTTTTTATTCGGCTATTTTTTCCTATTTTGGATGCATATGTATTAATTGAGAAACCAACTATGTATATACAATATGAACTTTTTTGTTTATTTGTACTAATCAGTCCGTGTTCTTTGTTTATATGTTTTGGTTCTTCATCGTCTTATTTGATTCCCTATTTTTATGATATCATTTGTACGTGAGTTGTAATTTTTTGACTGGTTCTTAACTATAAATTGATTATTAATTACCTTGTTTTGGGGTAATTCGGTTAAGCGAGGAACCATATTAAACGAACCGCTATAGCACGATTCAATTCTTTTTCGACTTCTCTGAAATTTGATGTGTTAACAGAACTGATTATAATATTGTGGTCCCCGTTTCTAAAAAATATGATAGAAACAACGTTAAAATCATAATGACCTATGTAGTACATCAATCTAAAACCAGATTCTAAACTTATGATAATTTACATCAACACAAAGTTATAGTTCCTCTTTTTTTTCATAAGGCGTGAAGCTGTTAAATGAAATGGGTTGCTGGTGAGTTTAACCTGACTCAACTAGTTTGATAGCGAGTGTAGCTCGAGTTTTTATAAAGCCTGTTTTGTTAATGAGACGAAAATAGAATTTGTTACTACAGTAGCTCGACTCGGTAGGCTAAAAGTATGAAATTTTATGTATTTTTTTCTATTGTTCAACTCGTTAAGACTTGAGTTTCACTTATTAAGACTTTGAGTCTGACTAGTTAAAAGTAATAAATAAACTAATTACAAGCGAGTTTAAATAAAAAGATCGAGCTCAAGTTTTGGGAGTTTCAAACTCAAATCATTTACACCACTAGATTAGGGTCTACACATCGATTTGAAACGAAGATGTTTGTTTCTATGTTTTCTTTTTTATTATTATTATTATTATTATTAACATTATTATTATTATTATTATTATTATTATTATTATTATTATTATTATTATTATTATTGTTGTTATATTACTAGTACGAATCTCATTCAATAGACGGATAAAAAATATCCATTAATATTTATTAATTACAATGCTCATTAGATAATATTTATAAATTAGAATATGGAATCATTAATTCAAAAAGTCATCTTAAGTTCATTACATCAATATTAAATAAATTGGTATAATATAAGCATAATAAATCATATAAGCAAAAAATCTCAATTTTAAATACAAACAGTAATGCAATTTTTTAAATAAGTATTTAAATTTAAATTAAAAAAAAAAATCTCTCAAATTTTTTAACTAACGACCAGGTATTGTACTACTTAATTTCTATATAAAAAAAATACACTAATGATTAATTTTTTAATATAAAATTTATTTTGTAAAATACAAGTCGTAGAAATACAATAAAGTGAATTGATGATATTGCATATAATTGGGTGTATATAACCAATTGCACAACCTCCTTTATCAAAGTATAAAATAAAATAACTTAAAGAGTTGGCAATTTCTAATAAATTGCTCTTGATAGTATATCTATATTATTCATATATGAGGGGAAAATATACATTTTATGTCAAATTTTTTTCACTTTAATATTAAAAAAATAAAGTTGGGTAGTTAAAGAGGTTGAAAAAGAAAAATATTTGGAGTAGACAAAATGGAAATAGTTCGAGATGGTGAAACGAAAATCCCTTCATATTATTTGGAGTGGACTCCATAATATATATTCATATCTACTCAAACATTTGAAGTATAATATCCTCCCTATATATAATTCCCGAATGCGCTGAGCCTAGCTGCTTCTGGTGCTTCGAAATACTATTTGGCAAAAAATCATGCTTCGTAATTAGGTTTGGACAAATAATATTAATATATTAATAATTAATAATCTAGGTTCGGATATTCCATAAATATTATTTAGCTAACTTAAGTATTTTAATATCACTTTTACTAATATAACCTTTTAATTCTTTGTAACATAGTAAGGTACTAAGTGACTAATATATCCCTAAATTTTGATTTGCTTCCTTCAATAAGCTATTGAAATATAAATGTACTTTAAAAGTAGATAACTTTTGTATTTCTTATCGGTTTTACATATATAATATATCTAATTAATCATCTTTTGATGATTTTCGATTTGACATCCATATTGTATATATATAATAAATAAATTATATTTACCTTTATAATAATAAAAAATAATAATATTTATTAAAATTCATTAGAAAAATAAAATTATTTCTCAGTTGATATATTTATATTTAATGTAGTTATATATTGTCAGTTAAAAAATTAGTATAATATAATACAAGTAAGTCGCACAAATAAAAAGTATCATAATAAATATATAATAATATATATATTCTTATAAAAGGTATTTAGAGCATGTTTGTTTATAAGAATTTTCAAAAAAAATTCAACATTTTAACTCAATCATTTTTTTTAACTCAACTTTAACTCAACACCTCTATCATCAATATTATCAATATAATTAAATAATATCAATCAATCATTCATACACACCACATCAACCTTAATTCACTATTCATCTACTCACATAATTTTAACTAACCATCACATCACATCTTCTCTCTCCTACTTTTACTTCAAATTAATTTTAATCATTTTATTTTAATATTATTTTAATATATCCACTAACAACTAACCATACCACCTTTTCAAAATTAACCAAACCAAACCAAAAATTCCAAACAAACTCAAAAAATTTCATAAACAAACATGCTCTTAAATTTTCAAACTACTTTTTTCTCATTAATTTTAAATTTTAAGAAGAAAATTAGCAAACACTCATGTAATACACGGGTGTTGTACTAGTTATCTATTAAAACAAAACCAAATGAAAGACCACAAGAACTGAAATATGGCTATCAATATCGCTTTTTGCTATGAAGCCAACAGTTGGCTCCATAGTCGAGCCAACCTTCTATATACAACAAGTAAAATATACCATAGGAATAAAATTTTCCTATAAAATTATATTAGTGTTATTTAAATAATCAAAATATATGGTATGTTTACTTGTTGTTTATAGAAGGTTGGCGCGACTATGAAGCCAACTGTTGGCTCCATAGCAAAATCGCTATCAACAAGTATGGTCGCGCTCTGACCAAATATAAGTCGAGCTAGAGCACCTCAAACTCAAATTCAAGCCAAAATTTAGCCTGCAGGGTGGAGTGCTCGAGCTAGAGCACCTCGAACTCAAGCTCATGCTCAACAAATGAGTGAGTGACTTAAATTACTCAACTCAAGCTAAATTTGAGCCAAAAATCAAAGAATAAATCCTATTTGAAATTAAAGTTTATTAAAATTCAGGCCAAACTCGATTAAACACGAGCCCGTCTTGAGCATTTTTACACATTTTTAGAGCAAACTTAAAAGGTAGGGCAACATAGAAAAAAAAAAAAAAATTGCACCTAGCTCAATAAGGGTATTTTTTCACCTAGCACATAAGGCCAATGCCCGGCTTGGGCCGCTTGGCTAGTTTGCAGCCCTAATCAACACCTCAAAAAACCCCAGGCTCCAATAAACACACACACCCCAAACAAGAATTAAAGTACATTTTAGCCCTACAATTCTAATTAGTTCAGCAAAACAAACCTGATCAAGCATATGGCATCATCTACAATCCACACAAGAAAAATGGCAATGGACAAACAGTGGAATACAAGCAAACCGAGATTAAAACAGAGCAACCAACTTCATTTTAGCCAGAAACTGTAGCAACTACATCTCAAAATGGTCCCATACTTCCAATGGAGATTCTTGAAAAACACAGCAAAACAAATTTAAAATACCCAAATCACAAATCCTCAGAAATTAAACTTCAATTTAGTTCCAAAACAAGAAAAAATAAAAAAAACGCATACTATTGAGCACGACGGTGAAAGAACAACCGCTACCAACCTCTCAACGGTAGGATTTCTGGAACCTGGCGCGGGCACCACGCCCACCGAACTTCTTCGGCTCGCATCGCCTCGGGTCGGCCACCAGCAGCGTCCTGTCGTACCTCACGAGGATGTCCTTGATCTCCTTCTTCGACTGCTCGTCGACGTACTTCTGGTAGAATGCGACGAGGGCCTTGGAGATCGACTGGCGGATGGCGTAGATCTGGGAGGTGTGGCCGCCGCCCTTGACGCGTATGCGCATGTCGACGCCAGCGAAGCGGTGGCGGCCGAGGAGGAGGATTGGCTCGAACACCTTGTAGCGGAGGATCTCGGGCTGGATGAGCTCGATCGGGACGCCGTTGATCTTGATCAGGCCGCGGCCGCGCTTGCAGTGGGTGACCGCGACGGCGGTTTTCTTGCGGCCGAAGCACTGGACGGATTCGGTTGGCGCCGCCATGACTGCGTTAGCTGCTGATTTCTCTCTCTTGTTTACGCGGCGGAGGATATCCCTAATTCGGCGAGGAGGCTTTTGAAGGGAGTTTGAGAGTGGCGAGTGTATATATGTTTTGGAGCTTTGATTGCCTGGATTAGGGTTTTTGGTGGTGAAATGACCAAAAACCCAGCATTCTCGGCTCTGTGTATATTTGGGCTCAATTGGTTGGATTTTGTATTGGGCCTTAGATATATTTTAGGCTAAATTGTATTTGGGCCATATTCAAAAACTGAGAGTAGTATGTATGTTGAGCATGGACTTTCCTGATAATTGATTTATCAAATTATATTAGTTTATTTTATTTTATTTCATTTTATTTTATTCTATTCACGTTCTTCGATAAAATAGTACCATTTATTTTTAAATCTCATTTTATCTTTATATTTATGAAATTGTTATTTTAGTTTCAAGTATATTAGGCGCGAGTGTATATGAATTCTACAGTAAATATTTTACTCAAAATTTAAATTTAACTCAACTTTTACTCAAATCTATTATTTCCAATTTTATCAATATAATTATATTATATCAATCAATATTATTATACATCACATCAACTTTAATTCACTATTCATCTACTCACATAATTTTAACCAAACATCACTTTCAATCATTTTCTTATACTTTTACATCAAATCAGCTTTAATTATTTTAATTTAAATATTATTTTAATATATCAACTAACAACTAATTATACTACTTTTTGCAAACTTAACTATAGTTAAAAATAAACTAATTTTTTGCTAGTTGAATTCATATCCAATCACTCCTTTAATTTTTACTATTTATTTTTTATTTGTTTGTGTAAGTGTAATTGACTTTTAAATTGCATCAATTTTCGGATTATAACTAGCTTATAAATAGTTTGTGTACGCTCCATATCTCCTCATATTTATTTTTATTTGGGTAACATTAAAATATACAAAACAATGTTTAGATTAAGGAGCTATTCTAATTAGGGGATTTATTAGTCTAAAAATAAATTGAGTAAAACAGTGCGAAATAAACTTATCCATCATATGATACGAGAGAGACTACACAATGTTTTGAGTGAAAATCATCTCAATTGGATGATCAATAACTATATTCCAAGTATATATATTAACAAAATTAAGGCTACACATATTGAAGGATAACGTAAGGCTAGTATGGTAAATATATAATTACACACAACTTACCAAGAAAGAAATCGAATTCATGCTTCCCAAGCGCCTTGATGAAGATGTCAACGAGTTGTTCCTCAGAAGGAACATAAGTAGTAGAAATGAGACCCTGTAGAACAACATCACGAGCAAAGTGACAATCCACCTCTATATGCATTGGCGCTCGTGAAATACTGGATTCGCCGCAATATGCAGCACAAACTGACTGTCACATAGTAACCACATAGGCTGAGTGTGAGCGACAACAAGAGGAGATAACAGACCCTGTAACCACTTTAGCTCGCACAATGTAGTAGTCTTCACCCGATATCCAGCCTCAACAGAAGAGCGAGCGACAATAGGTTGTTTCTAGGTTCTCCAAGAAACATTAGCTTGCCCAGCTGAACAAACCAACCAGAAAGAGAGCGCCGAGTGAGAGGACAAGCGCCCAATCTGATCTTGGTGAGCGAAATTGTAGTTACAAAACTGTAGTAGATAACTCAGAGATATGCTTTTTTTTT